TTTCAATAGTCCTATAAAGTGATTAAACTATTAAATGGACACAAGAGTCAAGTAAATAGCGTTAAATGGGTTACGAATAGCGATAATCTCATAATCACTTCATCGGCCGACAAGACATCTATTGTTTGGGATTTGGATTCATATGAAGCGAAATACCGACTCTCGGGACACAAAGAATCGGTGACTTTGAGCCACTCTTATCTGTTGAGTGACAATCAGTTGCTGTCTTTAAGCACTTCCACCGATAAGTGGATTAAAATCTGGTTAAATGACAAACAAATATCACAATTATTTGTTAATAATTTTATATTTGATTTGAAAATTGTCAAAAACACAGACATTTTTGATGATATCGTTATAATAACCGTGGGATCCAATGAAACCATTAATTTATATCAATTCAATGAAAGTGATTATCAAATGAAGTGTTTAATTGAACTCAAAGGACACGAAGACTGGATTCGAGCCATTGATGTGTTTTCGACAAAAAACAGTAAGATTTCGATGAAAGAGTGAATTTGAACTAATGGTTTGAAATGTGATGTTATGTTAAGACACACTAATGATCGCCACTTCATCGCAAGACTCGTTCATTCGGGTCCATCAGATCCAACGAACAGACGAATGCGAGTCAGATATGAATCGTTTGGTATTTTCGATGCAAACTAATGGTTAGGATTTACTAAATGACGAGATATTGGTTTGATATTAAATTAAAAATATATTGAAAACAGATTTAATACACAATTATTTGGTGCGATTGGAGACTGTATTGGCCGGACATGAGGGTTGGGTGACCGAAGTTCGTTGGTATCAGTCGTGTGATAATAGATTGCAATTACTGTCGGCTTCAATGGATAAGACAATGATTTTATGGCAATCGCCAGATGAGGAGAATTTAGACGATCTCTGGATTGAATGTCTTAGAGTTGGAGAAATTGGTGGAAACACATTGGGATTCCTGGGCTGTGCCTCCTCTGTAGAGCTCAATGTGATAGTCGGCCACAGCTTTAACGGCGCCTTTCACTTATGGAAATGTGTTGACAACCAATGGAAGCCTTATGTGGCTATTAGTGGACACTTTGATGGCGTAACTGATATTTCTTGGGAACCAAAGGGAGAGTATTTGTTGAGTTGTTCCAGAGATGAGACAACGAGATTGCATGCGATCTGGAACTCTAGTGATAACAAGAGCTCATGGCATGAAATATCGAGACCACAAATACACGGCTATGAGATTAAATGCATTGCAATGATTGACAGAAATTCCTTTGTTTCCGGTGCTGACGAAAAGGTGTTGCGCCTCTT